TTTACAGTGCTTCCTGGTCTATTTTGACAAATTAGACTACATTCATTTAAATTCAAGGTTGTGTTTGCAGGAGTAACCTCTTCTTGCTTTAATCACAACTGCAGCATAACTTACAAGTTTTGTGCATCAATAATTTATTAGGATCATCTTAAACAGAGACGCAAAGAAACTAGTTCAGCATTATGCCAGGCAGCTTGCTTATAAGAATTCAAACCCGGATTGTAAGCGAGCTTTGCAGACTATCCCTAAAAGGGAAACCTGCACAATAGCGTGTCAGATCAGTTGAACATCACACAGCCTCTCTAGTTACAGCCTTAAGCGCCCAGTTGAGATTACAGGACGGGGCAAGAGGGAGAGGCAGTTGCTACCAATGTGGCACTGCTGATCATTTTTATAAGGACTCCCCCAAAAAACCCCCCTCGGCAGTGTGCCAAAAATGTCACCATGGGAAGCGGGAGTCTAATGAAGGTCGAGGTCGAGTTGACCTGAGGAGAAACCCTTCCCATCATGGAAACTGCAGACGGGGTGCAAAGCCGCGTGCCCTGGTTCAGCAAATAAATACGGTTCAAGAAAACAGGTTAGCAATTTGCCCACCGCCACCTCAGGCAGTATTGGGCTGGACCTGGCCTCCAGAGAGCCAGTAACTTTAATATCTACCGCCGTAGTGTTGATCCCCATAGGGGTTTGGGGACCTTTAGACCCAGGAGTCCATGCCCTTCTAATAGGATGATCGTCAACCACCAGGATGGGTTTGTTTGTCTCTCACAGTGTCAGACTGTCAGTGGCATAGACTCCAGTGCCTCCCTGTTACATACCTGAGGGACAACGGTTTGCCCAACTAATCCCCTTTTACAGCATGTCACCGGTTGAGGAGGGGGAAAGGGGTTCAAGGGTTTTCAGGAGCACAGGTGAACCTCAAATATTCTGGGCAAAAACCATTTCTGCAGCACAACCAATGATGACTTGTCAGATAGATGGAAGCAGATTCAAAGGCTTGGTGGACACAGGAGCAGACGTTACAATTGTTAAAGACACTGACTGGTCAGCTGACTGACCCACTGTTTTTCCTGCTTCAACTATCCAGGGGGTTGGAGGCATGCAGAAGCCTAGGCAGAGTGCACAAATACGCACAGTGTTGGGGCCAGAGGGGCAGGTTGCCAAGGTAGTTCCTTTTGTTGTTCCTATTCCATGCACTTTGTGGGGAAGAGATGTGCTAGGCCAATTTGGCACTGTCATGCAAATTGCAACTGGAGATGCTCAAAATTTTCAGTGAGGGCCATTGACCAGTTGTTCCAAGGACAAATTAAGCTGACATGGAAAACTCATGACCCTATATGGGTGAATCAATGGCCCATGAAAAGGGAACAGTTTGCTCACCTAAGAGATCTAGTCCAAGAGCAACTAGATGCAGGACATATAGTGCAAACTTCCAGTCCGGTGTTCTGCATACCAAAGAAAAGTGGCAAGTAGCAGATGCTGCATGACCTAAGAGCAGTTAACTCAGTGATAGAACCTATGGGGGCATTACAATTGGGACTTCTCTCACCTGCTATACTTCCAGCAGGATGGTCTTTAATGGTAATTGATTTAAAGGACTGTTTTTTCACCATTTTTCTACACTCCAATGATGCACCACGATTTGCTTTCTCCATCCCCGCTTTGAACCACACACAGCCCATGCAGAGATACCACTGGGTTGTTTTGCCTCAGGGGATGAGAAATAGTCCAAGGATTTGTCAGACTGTTCTGGCAAAAGCTATCCACCCTGTCAGAAAGCTTCACCCCTCAGCAATTATTTACCATTACATGGATGACATCTTGGTCGCCACGGCCAAAGAGACTGAGTTACAAACTGTTATAACTGCTCTTACTAATGCTGTCCAAGAAGCAGGGTTGCAGGTTGCTCCAGAGAAGATCCAGCGATCTCAACCCTGGACCTACCTTGGATGGAGGATCATGCAGCAGGAGATCTCACCCCAGCCACTGACAATTAAGGTAAAGGCCACTTTAACCTTAAATGATTTGCAGAAACTTTTAGGAGCCATCAACTGGTTAAGGTCTATCTTAGGTTTGACCACAGAGGAACTGCACCCCGTATTTGAGCTGCTGAAAGGCGATCCAGACTTGACATCTAGTCGGTCCCTGACCACAGAGGCAAAGCAGGCATTAAAGACATGTTCTCAGGCAATTGAGAGCAGACAAGGCAGAAGGAGAAATCCTGAACTTCACATCTGCCTTGCACTTGTTCCTAACAGGTTCCAGCCATTTGCAGTTTTGTTTCAGTGGGACCAGGTTGAATCGGATCCACTGAGGGTCCTGGAGTGGCTGTTTCTGCCCCATTCACCACCAAAGGCTGTGTGGACAATTGAGGAAATGTTTGTCAAGCTTGTCATTAAGGGCAGAGGACGTCTACAGGAGTTGGATGGACAGGATTCTGAGACCATCTAAATCCCAGCAACGAAGGGCAACCTCAACTGGCTACTGGTCGAAGATGCTAGATTCCAGGTTGCCTTGGCAGGCTATGACGGTGACATTTCTACTCACTATCCTAAGTACAGACTTTGGGCAGAAATGGGTAACCTACCCTTAAAAGCCACACGCAGATGTCAACACCAGCCAATAAAAGGTCTCACAGTTTTTACTGATGCATCAGGATGGTCCAAAAAGGCTGCAGTGACGTGGGTAAACCCTGCTACAGGACAGTGGGAAAAGGAGGTACAGACCATAAGCCATGGTTTGGTACAGGTCCTAGAACTTGCAGCTATTCGCATTGCCTTTGAACTGTTTTCTGATCAGCCAATTAACATTGTTACTGATTCATGTTATGCAGCAGGTTTGGTTTCACGTCTCGAGGTTTCCTTCCTTCGAGATGTTGCTAATCCACACTTACTTGCTGAAATATGTACTGTATGGGTTCTTGTTAACCACAGAAGGTTTGAATTCTACATAAATGGATGTTAGGTCACACACAGAAATGCTGGGGCCTGTAGTAGATGGGAACCAAAGGGCTGATGCAGCAGCTATGTTCACTACAGTGCCTAGGACACCTGAGCAAGCTAAATTGTCTCATTCCTTTTTCCACCAGAACGCACATTCTCTGAAGAGACAATTTCAAATCACCCTCAATCAGGCTCGAGACATGGTCATGTCATGTCCAGACTGCCAACAAATTACTCCAGTGCCATCCCAGGAAGGAGTTAACCCCAGGGGACTAATAGCTAATGAGGTATGGCAGACAGATATCACACACATACCAGAGTTTGGTCAGTTAAAATATATTCATGTTGCAGTCGACATGCACTCCAGATACATAACTGCCACCGCACACACTGGGGAAAAGGCAAGGGATGTCATAAGGCGCTGGTTTAACTGCTTTGCAACACTAGGGATCCCAAAAAAGATAAAAACTGACAACGACCCGGCATACATTTCAGCAAAGGTCAGGGCTTTCCTGACAGACTGGGGAATCTCTCATTCCACAGGTGTGCCGCGCTCACCCACGGGACAGGCCATGGTGGAAAGGGCGCACCATGCCCTAGAGGACATGCTCAAAAGACAGGGAGGGGGGGGGTCCGTCTGTGGTCCGCGGGGGCATCTATGGGGGGCAATGTGTCATAAATTTTTTGGGTTGTGACAGTGCAGAGAAAAGCGGGTGTGGGAGACGGCACAGATCTCGGGCATTTTCCTCTCCCAAACCACTGGTCATGATAAAAGACCTAATATCAGGGCAATGGATGGGACCGGTAGACCTTGTGACATGGGGAAGGGGGTATGCATGTATATCTACAGGTAAAGAACTAAAATGGATTCCCTCCAGGTGTGTCAAACCCTACATAGATACACCTTCACAGCAGCAGCAAGAACCAAAATGATAACTGAAGAAACTGCAGACAGAGACGCATAACTGATGTTTACTACTGAAAATGACCAATGTGGCAAAAATACAGAATCTTATTAAAAGCCATAAGTGTGCATGTGAAGAAAGAGAGTGGCAGCCGCTGGTGTGAGTGTGTATGAGTGAATGAAAGAGAATTGTGTGAGTGTACAAGCACTTTAAACGCTAAGCCTTAAAAAGGTAACATTACCTCAGCCACATGGTCACATTAGAAGAATTCAGTTCATGACGTTTACCCCCCAATAAACCCTGTTGTTGAAGTAAAGTTGAATTTTCCCTGTTCTACACAAACCCTTAGACAAATAAAGGTTCCCAGTTACATAAGTACCATCCAGTTTTATAAACAACCCTCAGAAAAATAAAGTTGATGCTTCTACCAATTACATAAGAAAAGTAAAATCAATGTTCTACCCAGTTATGCCAAAAACCTCAAGTTAATAAAGTTGTTGTTCATCCTAGTTAGAGAAGTTTCACAGTTACATAAAAAACCCTCAGATCAATAAAGTTGTTGTTTATCCCAGTTACACACAAACCCTTAAGAAAATAAAGGTTCAAGTTTATATCAAGCAAATTCAAAAGGTTAGAGATAAAAATTCAAATAAGTAGGTTTGTTGAAGAACCAAGGTAAAGCAGTGAGCTGGGTCACTGTGATACAATGGTAATTGTTAAAGGTTTTACAAGGTTTAAAAATGTACTGTTCTGTTATTTGCACTGTTCTATGATTCATCTTAATAATAAAGCCGGGGGAGATGTGGGGAACGTGTTTTAGGGATGCTGGATGAGGCATCCTGGGAGATGTAGTCCCCAAAATATACTCTAATACACATGGGCAGTGGTAAGTCCCATGGTGGTTGGTTAACAGAATCACGTGTTGTTTTGAAGTGCATATAAAAGGTGCTGTTTGCTTCCAATAAACGGATTTGGTTTTTGGGAATCCAACCAACCGGGTCGTGTGGTTTATTTATTATATTAATAAAGCCACACAACTTGCAGACAGCATATCTACAATAGCAGTAAGAAGCCTGTAGGTACAACTTTCAAACCAGACAGAAATAGTGCATTAGTGAAAGAAGAAAAATTAACTCTAAAATTAAAAGTTTCTTACCTGTATTCAGCTCCCCATCCTTTAACAAAACTCATTCTTATGGTACACATTCTAGTAAGCTGATAAACTGCTTCAAAACCCTGATTCACAGATTGAGCCAGAAGAGCAGCAAATTCTTGGTTATTAAAGATTTTTAGATTGCATCCTATAAAGAAAAAAAGTCCAATGAATACTCGCGTTTACTACACAGAAGCCCAAAACTATGAAGAAACTATGAAAAGGAAAGCAAATGTCCAGTGAATACATTCACTGAATATTTTCCCACGAGACCTTTGGTAGGCTACTAACCTGGTGGAATTTTGCACACAGTTGCAGGATGCCAGCCGTATCTTTGATTACAGTTGGGGCTCTGAACAAAAATTGCGCTATCGCTTAAGCATTCAGCAAAAACTTCTCCACCAATGTAATAGAGACGTACTCCCCTTCCTGTAGCAGAATTCAAAGGAACTCTAGTTATTATATGACCCAAGCAGATTAACAAACGAGAGTATTTTGTTTCAGAGAAGGCCAAGGTTTTTCTTTCTTTACAACAGAAACCAATTATCTACAGGACCACAAAGTTGGGTTGACACCTGTAGCAGGAGCAGAACACAATTAACTTGCATTTTTCTCCCATGAACACACAATATTTGAAGGAGAAGCAGAATAATTTTTGGTCAAGAGTGAGATAGAATTTTCTAGCCATGTAGTGGTTTGTAACCAAATCCAAGTTAAAAAGCAGTGTTCACCACCAAATAACTTTTTCACTTAAAGAAATACCAAAATTGAAATAAAAATATTAGAGTCAACAGAATTAAAACTTGTGCTAGTATTAAAGAATTGTATGTGAAGCAGCACAGGCCACTATGACAAAAAAGGAAAACACAGTGTACCATTTCGACACTCTGCTTACATGCACCCACACTATTTCATAACCCACTGCATATCCCTTCTCTGTACTACTTTAACAAAACCAACAAGACTTCATTTAGCCCTATTACAAAAAAATACCCATAAGAAACCGTATTATTTGCTTTTAAATTGTGATTTTGTTCTCTCTCTTTAAGTGGAAAAAAACCTGTATGGGTTATTTCTAGCAGAATATAAGTAATGTACAATTGATCTCTCAAACTACTTATAATTAACAGGTTCTTTAAAGGTCGTAGTTTCTATTCCCCTTTTTCTTTAAAACAATTTTTCAAACAAAATATGAGCTGCTCTATTAAAAAAAGTGAGAGCTCCTTACATTTTTGCTTTCCCTCATCATTGATCATTTTGATCAGTCAGCACAGGCATAGCCTGGGTTTCTGCACATCTAAAATTTTATTACACAAGCATTTGGATTTGGCATAGAGGGAATCAGAAAGTTCTACTAAAGAGGTTGAAATTTTTACCAAAAATAAAAACAAAAAACCTTCACGAATGTTGCTAAATAAAAGAATCCAGGAAAAAAAAGTTAATTTATTGAAGAACCTAAAGCCAAGACACTGCATTGTGGAAAACAATATTCTTTACTAACCATTACAAAGAAAATCTTAATCATGTCAAAACAGCATGTTATCTCGACTGCAGTTTTTCCCATTTCAGAAAAGCATTCATGTACTACCAATGTCCATTCTGTGTTTCATAAATTAGAATAAACCAAGCAACATGCTAATATTTTGTAATTAAAGCTTAAATTTCAATTATAAGCAACCCTGAATATAAATGCTACCTAGGGCAGAGCAGTCCAACAGGGAGTCTGAAAGCCAAAAACTTGCCCTTTGGGATACTTTGGTACATCATCTTTTTCCAGAAGGCAGAGAACAGCAATGTGAGCAACAGAAATCCCATACAGTTGAATGGCTTCTTCCTGTGCCACTTGCAGCCTGACAGCTGTGTGACTGCTGCTGCCACCAGCTTAGTGACTACTGATAGAGGAAAGGGAGCTCCTTTCAGCTCTAGCCATCACTACATCTCTTCCCAATTGCAACAGGATGTGGTAACAGAAGCTATATTTCTCCCTAATTTCAGAAGCAGCAACCTCTCTGTCTTTCCACTTCTTAGCAAGAGAGACCAAGCTCTCCTTGGCAAGCTCTGAGAGAGAAGTTCTATGGTTGACTGCACAAGGGCAAAAGGAACCCAACACACAAATCATTCCAGATCATTCCAGATCATTCCTACCTGGATCATTCCAGATAATTTAATGTCTAAAATGAAATTAAATATTTAAAGATCAGAGATCTTTACCTATATGTCGCCTTGTCATTTCCACTGTAGCATTTCTGTTTACGTTGGAAAGTAAACCTAGACAAAATCGTTCTGAATTTGAAGGATCTGTAAAGCCATCTACAGTCAGGGAAGGTTGGGATGCATGGAAGGTTTCTCCCACTCTTTGATTCAATTCATAATATGCTATTGAACACCAAAATGCAGGCTCCGAGTAAGTAACTGGTTGCAAGTCTAAAAAAAATATTAAAAACCAAGCTTAATACAGAATTTAAGGCTGAAAATAAATCTATCTGCCCTGCTATTTGTCGCTCCCAGAAATGACAGAGGTAGTCTCCTCAAATCATATTTTGCTTGCTGTCATTTTTATCTACCCCAGTAAACAGAATGGAATTCAATCTTTCACACAAGGGAAGGAGGGGAAGAAGGAGTGATCTAATCTGACCACAGCTCATTTAGTTCAGTACTTGTATTTTGCTCGGCAAAATGATTAAGCTAATGCTACTGTGAGTGCCAGACATTGAGATACTTCTGTTGCTTTTCTATAACTTGCAAACATTTTGGCAATGTTAAAGAAAAGATTAAACTATCAAACACTGAACCACATAAAGGAAAAAATATTAATATGAAAATGATGTTTCCTTGTATTACATTAGATCTTATACTGTCTCTTTATCGAAAAGCAGTTCTAAGCTCCTTTTACTTTCCCCTATGAGAGCTCAGTATCTTCCCTGTGCATCTTCAGCTTTTCCTGAGCTGCTTCCCCTTTTTACCTACCCTAATTACTTAGTGTTCTGAACAGCATTTTTCTGTCACCATTCCTTAAACAAACCCAGGGGAATCTGATCTTCCTGAGGCATTTATACAAATACACAGCAATGGCACCCAATCAAAGCAGGTGGGCAACTAATGTGGGAGCAACAATTGTGTTGCGGTTACAGGTCAAACAGTACGTGAGAAGAGCAACAGAACACATATACAAGGGAGTCAGCAAGTCTGGGCAGCACTATGGATTGGCTAACGTCCTTTAAAGTATTTATTTTATAAATGCTAGTCCTGCACACACAACCATATTATTCTTTCTCTTTGCTAGGAACTCAACAGTTACAGAAATAGAGTAGTAGTTAACAAGTTATTAACCCAGCCCTATTATGTTCATCATCAGCAAGCCAACCAAATAGTCTCCTCCTAATACAGTTCTTAATTTTTTTAAGTACATTTTCATTTTTAATGTTATATATATATAGAGAGAGAGAGTCACCACACATAGAGAAATAATTAAAAGTATTTCCAGCTTACCCAGGCTATGATTAACTGGAGAAAGAGTACTAGGAGACAGCTCTGCTGGAGATCCTGTTGAAGCAATACAGATTATTTCAGATAGGTAGGTATAACCATTATCTAGATATAGTTTTACACTGAAATTCTTTGGAATAAGAAACCTCAGAAATCCTAACACCACTTTTCCAGCATATCACACACTTATTGTGAATTAAGACTGCATTTAATTTTCCAGACTCATGGGAACCTACCTCTCCTCATAAAGACTCAATTAACATCTTAGTGTTGTATTTGGCAGAGCTTTCACTTCATGCACACTCTGTGAACATAACTTTATTTATGTGCTTGTCATAGAATCATAGAATGGCTAGAGTTGGAAGGGACCTTAAAGATCATCTGGTTCCAACCCCCCTGCCATGGGCAGGGACACCTTCCACTAGACCAGGTTGCTCAAAGCCCCATCCAACCTGGCATTGAACACTTCCAGGGATGGGGAAGCCACAGCTTCTCTGGGCAACCTGTGCCAGTGCCTCACCACCCTCACAGGAAAGAATTTCTTCCCAGTATCTAATCTAACCCTGCCCTCTGTCAGTTTGAAGCCATTCCCCCTTCTCCTATCATTCCATGCCCTTGTCAAAAGTCCCTCTCCAGCTCTCTTGTAGACCCTTTAGGTACTGGAAGGTGCTCTAAGGTCTCCCTGGAGCCTTCTCCAGGCTGGAAAACCCCAACTCTCTCAGCCTGTCTTCATAAGAGAGGTGCTTCAGCCCAGTGAGAAGGTAGTGACTTCTTCCCAAATTCAGTGGAAAAAAAGCTAAGAAAAAGTGGATGAGACAAGCAAGATATTGCCTCTATTCTCAAAGGAGAGGGTTTATCTCTAGAAGAACAAGCTGGATTTCCTCATTTGAGATTATTCTTTCCTGGAAGGAGGAAGGAAAAAATTTAGAAAAACATGAACTCTCCAACACAATTTGTGCACTCATAGACAAAATACAAAGAGGTTTTGCACAGAATCATTCCTACAATGATTGCTGATATCAGGTTTTTTTAATTAAGGTACCTGTTGTCACATAGTGGGAAAATATTGCAGTTCTTACAGAAACTGGTGAAGTTGATTCCAACTAACTAAAAAAGGTTGCTAACATTAGCTAATCAAACACACTCAAGTCTGCCAGCACATAGTAGAAGGTTCTTATCCAGCATATTTAACTGTGCTTTGTCCAAGTCTAAAGCCAAACACATTATCTCGAAACTCATACAAAGGCACAAATGCGTAATGTTTCTACTGCTCTTTTCATAGACCCTTCCATACAAGAATTGATTTGAAACATGGCAGAAGTGATAAGGTGCCAGAGTTAAGAGACAGATTCTCAAAATGCAGCATCTGTTTAGGCCAATGAACCTGTTTCCAGAAGGTAAAGTTGGGGATGGTTAAAACCAATCAGCTATTAAAATCTGATGAAGACTTAATTAGACCTGTATGTTTTTGTTATGAAACATGTAATGTACTTAATATGGCACAGAATGTTTTAAAAGCATTCCCCTAGCAAAATATTAATTTGTTTACTAAAGACTGAAAGTGATATTTTAAACAGAAAACACCAGGTTGTACAGAGGAAAACTGCCATCATCTCTTGGGTTGAATTCATGTTGCTATGCAGAGGGATCACAGCTAGTAATTCCAAGTTTTGAAAATACTGTTACCTGTATCCATGCTTTGGTTCAACTGCTGGTCATTCGTTTCTCCATCTTCACTGATATATCCTGGAGGTGGTGTTTCTATCAAAACAAAAAATCCACCTATTAGTTCAATGACTGGGGAAATTTTTAAGATTTAGCATTTGGGGTTTTTGTTCTTAAATCTTCATGAGCTCCATATGATACCTGAATATTTTATTAGAATGTCATTTTGCTGTCCCTTTTTCCTTCCAGTAGGACTTCAAATACATTACCTGCCTTAATTGTCTATGTAAAATGTATCATCTCTTGTATGCCAGTCAACTGTTCAAATATGTTATATAATTAACAGATAATCCTTGTTTGTTCCATTTAAGACAAGATACTTTCACTACAATGAGCAACAATTTTGCAATTGTAATCAACAGCTTTCACTTTTAGTAGAATTAGATGAAAAAAAAATTTGGTGACTTCCACAAAAGAAAAAAATCATGTGAGCTATCTTTATGTAGTATAACCATCAGATCAGATACCCTCCCTTGCTAGATTTGAAGGTTACTTTTCAGTTCAGTCCCCACCTCAAATCCATTTTTCTTCAATATCTAACAGTCGATTTCAGTCAATAATAGCTATATTATTTAACTAGTTACACTGCACAAGCTCTATTATCATTATTACTTATTAAAACAATCATCTATTTTCTTAACTAGCTTTCTTTAAATATGGAGTTTCACAGACCAAAGCAAACTCAGTAACAAGTTTGAAGCATTCTGATACTAGAAACTGTGTGTAATTCAACAGAAATATCTTCAAAACCCAGAAGAGTATGCATGTTCCCTTTCTCCATTCAAAATGTACTTTGTAATCCAGATGAGTTAACCAACTGCTTTTCAGGAAATAATTTTCTTTGAACTGGGCAAATGTCTTTTCCTATATGGAGTTGGACTTCGATGATCCTTGTGGGTTCCTTCCAACTCAGGATATTCTATGATTCTATATATTAAAGGCAAAACCCGGATTTCTTTAGTGAAAGTGTTTGAAGCTAACTATCTCTACAATCACCTTAGAATTGTCTCTGAGACATCTGAGGGATTAAATACATTTAATTACATTATTATCAAACAGCAGAAATTTAAAGTCTTTTGTTTAAGAATTAAAATCAAATTATATCAAATATCATGTCTGAGATTTACAGCAATATAGTAAGATCAGAAGGAAGTCAGTGAGAGGAAACTAGATTAAGTCAGTTGATTAAATAAAAATTAACCAAAAGAATTATATCTTTGGTTCACTCTGTAAAGTTAGTGTGCTAAATATAGATGTGACAAAATTCAAATGATAATTTAAAAGGACAATTAAGGGAAATCTTCACTATCAAGAAGTATGATAACAAAAATCATACTAATTTTGAACATTTTTATTGAATTCATTTTGATAAAGTGGACTCTACCCTTCTCCAAATCATACATTATAGTTAAGCCTACAGCCATGGTAAAAGGTCAATAACCATTTCCAATCCAACCCATGCCCCCTGTTTCCAGTTGCTAATACAGAGTCTTTGGCACAGATTATTTTCCCTAATATCTGTCTGAAAAGAGATTTCCTCCACCTAGTACTATTAATACAGTTTAGGGTCAGAGGTTGAGTACCACCACAGCTGGAAATAAATGCTCAAGTACAGCAGTAAAAATTCTTAGCAGTGTTTGAATGCAGTTGAGCACATCCATAACCTGAAAGGGAACATACAGTCCCAGCAGCCATCCTGCACCTTCACAATTGCCATCTTCTCAGCTGTAAGTGAAACCAACCTCTCTGTAGATCATGTACTGAGATGGTATTGTGGTGCAAAGCTACCACTTGTTAGTCTGGCCTGTTGCTTAAGAAAACGGTTCTCTGAAGTAGGTTGTCAAGACACACATGACTTATCAGAACCTAGTTGAGTGTTCAAGATTAAGTCGTGGAGGTCAAATAAAGTAAGATGCCATGAATACAACAGGAGGGTGTCAGTGACAAAGAGAAGGAGGTAAGGTGTGGTTAGCTGCATAAACATTTGAAGATCATGTGAATACCCACAATCACCTTGAACATACTTCCTGCAATTAACTACCTAGCTGCTTTAGCTCAGTTCCATAGCATTGGATTTGCAAATGGTGGCTTTCCAGTAAGTTGTTAGGAAATGCTACCAAAAGCCCTCAGATTGAGTCAAAAAAAGCATACATCAGTTATGAAAGCAGCACCAACTTCTAACCCCTTAAATTGCTCTTTAAAGATCTGCTGTCCCTGGGTGGCAACAAACGGGGCCCAGATTAAACAGATAAAAACAAATTATTGCATTTTTTAATGCCATTTGATTTCTTGGATACATTTAAAGAAAACAGAAGCACCATCCTGTATCTACATGGCACATATTTGAGTTTCAAGTAATTTTATTCTTCAAGAGAGTCCAGATCTGATTTTTCAGCTTGTTCATAACATAGCTGCATTAAACATTTATGAGTAAACTTCAGCTTTACTTGGTTTTACACTCCGGGCAACTTCCTGAAGGGATAGGAAACACAAAGTTGGGACAGGAAACAAAATTCACTGATTTTATGTTTCAATAAAGCTACCAGCTTTCAGGTGCACTATAGCAGGTTAGTCTTGGGGTGGAGAAGGGGCAAAGAAGGAATTCTTTGAGTTCAATATTGTTAGGTTGTTTTTTCATACTAAAAAGACAAAACTGTGCACACAGTAACAAATACACAAAGCAGACCTTGACTGATTGTGAACTACAGATCAAAACATTAAGTCACTGATTTGCAACTTAAAAGTTTTCTCCCCAGACTACACATGGTGAGACTGAGCAGCAGTTTACTACTCAATCTCCAATACATAGCATTTGGCAACCCCTATATGTTTGTAAAACAGGCTGAAAGTATAAGGCAAAGGTCTATTTTTCACTCATTAGCATTCTGAATCTTAAATAAGCTATTGAAACCAAGTAAGCAATATGCTTTAACACAGGATTGTGTTCTGCAAACAGCAGTGTTCAGGTATTTCCATTGTAATTAACACACAAAATCAACTAGATCTAACTTATTGGCGCATCTTGCAATTAATTTGATCACTTAGGAGGATAAAATTGCCGTCTTTGTTTCAGTGGCACAATGTTAAATGTACTGTTTACAGTGAGAGTTAAGAAAATACCTGGTATGTAATTGCTCTGTGGTTCAATTCCAGCTGGAAAGTTAGTGTTTTCAGGAATGGAATGGGTATAGTCATCGAGAGGCGGCAGTTCTGTTAGAATCTCAGTGTGCCGTGGCACTAGTACAGGAGGCAAGACTGGAAAAGTAAAATTCAAAGCATTAGTAAGACCCTCAAAATACACACTTGTGTGAGCTAAAAGGAAAAAAAAATATATCTAAACCATCTAACAATCTCTTCAGATGTTTTGAAATTTTCTGAATCTCAGTACTGATAATACTACAATTGTACTACTAGTCAGTGGAAGAAACAGATTCCTGAAGTGCCTCTTGAGTAAGACTATTCCACATTAGCAAAGGTAAATCATCTCTGTTCTCCTTTTCAGTCCAGGTCCTATTTAGCCATCTGGAAACTGCTAGCAGTCCTGGAAATGTTAATCGGGGTAAAGGTATCTCCACATTCGTAAAGATTTTTCAGTAACTTTACTATTAAAAACTATAAGGGTGGTATTCTCAAAATCTGTATCTCTAAGAATCTTGTACTTTTGTCAAGAGAAAGCATCATCTTTTTCTTTTTCACTTATAACATTATGCTTATCAAGTATGTACAGATGCTATACAGTTCTACCTGTACAGATGCTATACAGTCCTACCTGGTGTCTCCACTCTCTGGTAGTGGTAAGGGTTTACACATACTTCATCCTTTTTAAGATTAAAAGCATATTCACAGTTTTCAATTGCTTTAAGTTCATGGTGACTGTGAAGATCTGGCCAGCGCCACAAACGACAGTAAATAACATGTGGTAATCCTTTACGATGAGATACCTGTAGACGGCCATCGAGAGATCTAGAGGGGAGAAATGTTGAGAAGTATTTACAGACTGCATGCTGTCTCTTAATCACTCAAGTAACAGTGTACACACGAGATGGGTGGTTTATTCATTGTCAGAATTCAGAGGATGGACACTGCTAGTGACATTTATACTTTTGTTAAAAGGCTTCAAATGTGATAAAAATGATCATATCTAGTAGTTTCTTATTTTTGAGTTGCTCAAATTATTGCCAGTGAATTTAGAATTCATTAAAAGCCACTTTACATTCAATCAAGTATTTTGGATGATTGCTTCATATATTTTTTTAAATGCAGAACAGAGTTGTTAAAAAATAAATAAATAAAATCACACACTTAATGGTCCCTTCCACTACTACACATCAAGGTTTTGCTATGGCATAGATGCTTTATGGTTTTAAGTATAAGAATTCCAACAGGACTGCAAATAAGCTTATAAGCAGTCAGCTGCCCAAGTGATCCACATGGCAGTATAACTGTAATGCAAAAAGCATGAATGCACCTCTTTCAAGGGCTGTACAGTTTATCTTCTTGACTTCATCTGCCTTGCTACCAGCTGAAAACGTTTTGCTAGTTTTAAGACAGACTGCATATGCTTACACAAATGCAGATGTTTATGATTGTTATGGGATGGGAGACAAACCTCAGTACACAAATCAAGTAATGTGACATGAAAAATAAAGACCCTATTTAGAATTTGCCCACCATTAACTACTGAAGAATTTACAAACAATTCTTTAGTAGCTCGTATCTGAGCCAATTAGCAAGATTTAACTGAAAGCTTGTGACATACAAAGCAGTTTAATCACTTTGTAAGATTAGTTCTAAAGAATTAAGTTTCCCAACTTTGTTAATTTAAATACCAAATCACATTAGAGCTTGCATTTAACAAGTCTTCCCATTCTTTCAATAGCACTGGTGTGAAAAAATGAATATTGCAGAATTAGTTTCATTGGTCAAAACATCAGCTGATAACACTTGGACTTCTACACTTGCAAGCAAATATTTTAAAATGCTGTACCATGAGAGGCCTAGGAAGCATTTTAGTCTATTTTATAGCTAAAGCATCCCATTACAGACCCTCCAAAGCCAATCCCTCCCACAAGATTTCTATGATGCAAGAGAGGGCAGAATATTCACCTGGGTTGTTCAGAGAAGCTGTAAAGGCCTGTTGTATCCCACTGATCTATCGTGTTTGGTGTACTCAGTCCCCAAATTTCAGAGCAAGTGCTGTGCATAAATTGAAAACAAAATCAAAAAATTGATATGAATATGGAACATGGTTATTCAAAACACCATGATGTCAAACATGGAAAAACGTACAGAATACTTCCTCTCACATAGAAGATAGAGCATTGTTAGACTTGAATTTAGATTGACATCTCATGCTATATTTTCTATATGAAGGAGGCTATCAAAATGGAACAAGTGATTCAAAGTAAATGATAAATGTTTTTAAAAGGTGAACAAGTTCTCTGCTTTTAAGTAGTCAATACAGTTGTAGTGTTACTTAAAACAGGCAAAACTTCTTCAGCCTAGCTCTTAAAAAAATTAATTTTAAAGGATAGTTTCTGGGTTTGGGTTTTTTTGTTTGTTTTTAAACATAAGTTTCCCTAAGACTTCAAACAAATGCCATGTGTATCTTAAACTGAACATCACAATCTAACTTTCAGGTACCACCACTTAAGCATTAATCTCATTCTCCATGCACATACTAATTTGCTGCTTTTCTCAAAACAGGGAAATTCAGACTCTGAAGAAAAGCACATTGTAGCTAACACTTCTCACTGTTTTCTGTACTCTCCTTGATTAAAGAACTAAATATTCTTTTCCACAGTATACAAAACACAGAATGTTTAACACAGTTTTACAGTATAGTATTTTAGGATTCAACTATAGGATAACAAACCTTCAATTGCTAAATCAAGGAGGAGGAAAAGAGAGATAACTAATTCTTTACCAAACTGATTCAAGGACAAGATCACAACAGTAAAGAAAAAGGAGCCTTCAGTCATAGGCACAAACTAAAAGCAGCGTCAGATTTAAATAAAGCAAGAAAACTTCGCACCTCAGAAACTAAGAGAATTTGGTTCACAAGCAACTTACATCTCCACTTCCTAATTACAGAGCCTGAAGTTTGACTTGCTGCTACATTCCCTTTAAAATTAATAGCTAAAAGAATCCAAGTTCACCAAACTCCTGGTTTTAAATATAGATGTTATGACTTAAACATTCATAAATTTGGATTGAGTGCTTAAGGGAAGAGAAGTAGGTATTTTTATTTCTCCTCCCTACACAGGGAAAATTCATTAGTGTTATGAAACAAGAGCAGACAAACATAAGTGTAGGCTATTGATGAAGGGAATTAATGGTTCTTGTCCCCTTCTTGCCTGTTCCACACACCTCATTTAACGCCATTCCAAGGAGGTTGAAATGTCCATGCAATTGAGCAGCAACTTAAACCAATAAACTGGCTATCTGACTACAGAACACACGTGGCGGAAAATTTATGTTTTGAGAGTTACTTTTCATCCAGATCACTTCTATTCGCTGTAGAGCTACATGAGCACTACAAAGGAGGAATGAGAGTATAATTGTGGGCAGTAGCCTGCATTTATCACAAATAAAATTGTTAAATAAAATATAGCCTTTGACATTTTACTGATTATGGACACAAGTAAAATCTTGTACTAGAGAACTTTTTGTCTAATAGAGAGCAGTAGTGTGAGACGAGAAGGTCCATTCTCTGATATAGATCCAGTTCTTCCAAAGAGCCAAGTGTCCTGAATAAGTTATATCCATCTCAGACACAGGCAGCATCACAGTTCTCTAGAAAGAGTAGTCCAAGAGGGATCCTGACCATTACTGCATCAGCAGAGCCTACAGCCTCTCTTTTTCACATTCCTAAGACATCTGTAGGACGATAGACTGCCAGAAGCTGCATAAGGATTGAAATAGTTGCCCTGAAGACACATAGGCAGCCTGTGGGATGCCAGGGAGCATCCCAACACTGTATTGTGTCCTTAAATATGCACCACTACTGCTGGTAAGACAGACCATCACGAATATTAAATCAGAAGAACAATCAGCAGACACAAAGCCTGCTGTATATTAATTGACACAGCTCACTACCTTTGAGCAATGGATCCTTAATACAAAGCAGTGCTCCAAAGTTGACACTGTCACACAGATTACACATTCCCAACATTGTGGGGTGCATCACTGGTGTAAGCAGGACATGCCACGCATTTGCTTCACAAGACTTAAGACAGCACATGCAAAAGTAAAATTTCACAGTCCTTGACAAAACATGATGAACAGGAACAGTATTTTATATTGTTAACCTCTTCTCTCTATAAATATTCAACCTATCAAAGTTGACACCATATTTCATAATCTGCAGAAAGACAAACAGTATCCTGAAGTGACTGTGCGATGGAGTCCTAGGTTGCAATGAAGCTCAGGACACAACAGAGGGAGGGTAGGCCAGGAGGGAGAAAAAAAGCGAACAGTTAGAGCAAAACTGTTCCAATATTCAGCAGCTTACATGACATGCTGTCTTCCAGGATGTATGTCTGCTTAGAGTTGGGATTAACATAAATATGTTACTAGGTCATCTACACTAGGACTATACTCAACTCCAATAATCCACAAACAAACACAGAAGAGCCTGCAGGAAATCAACCTGTATGATCAATAAAGTCAGTTCAAAATAGCTTTTACTGTTGACTGGAAGAAACATCTGAGGAAATGTTGCTTGCCACTGTAGGAAGAAAATTCATGCAGTCAAAGTTCAGCTGGAGTTGAAGCTGCCAGAAATGGGGGGGACAATAAAAAGAGTTTTTTCAAACATATTAATGGCAATAGGCAGTATAGAAATATCATCGGCCTGTTATGGGATGAGGATGGTCACCTCAAAAACAGGACAGAGATAAGGCAGAGGTGTTTAACACATTCTTTGCCTCTGTCTTCAATGCGGATGATGGACCAAGGGGGTCTCAGTGCCCTGTCTTAGCTTTGATTTGGCTCCCCGCCAAGTCCCCAAGACTCAGCGAAAAGCCTCTGGCAAAGAGTGAGAGAGAAAAAAACTATGAAAAAACCCAGAATAGCAGAACTATATACTAAAATATATATATATTTACGTATAGTACAGTTATATACAGTTAAAATACTATGTACATATAAAAAAGAACCCCAAACAACACCCCAAAAGGAGAAGGGAAAAGGGACAAAACCACAAAAGAAACCCAAAGCAGGTATGCACAGTCAATAAAAACTAGCAAAAGAAAATCTTACTACTCTCCTTGAGATAGCAGAATTGCGTCAAGCACTGCCATCACCCTCCGCCTCCCGGAATCGGCAGAAACAACAGGCCCTGTAGGCCTCAACTCCCAGATGAGCGAGACCAACCACAGGGACCTGCCGTTCTCGAGTCCACCAGAAGAGAAAAGAGGAGAGCCTTCTCTCTCTCCTTCTTATTTATACCTCTGCTTACATAAAGAATAGCATGGAATACTGGGAACATAGGGTACTTCCCTGGTTACAAGTTGGTCTCCAGGAAGGCCTAGACTAAAACTATCACATGCCCTTAGCTGGAGAACCATGACTGCAAGAATGATCAACTCCCAGTCGACCCTGAAATTGTGCGGGATCTGCTGCTCCAGCTGGATTCCTACAAATCTATGGGGCCTATAGCTGGGAGAATGCCGAAACTGAAACCAGTACACCACTGAAAGCTCAACAAAACACAATATTTATTGCAAAGAAGTAGTCAACAAAACGAGAACCCGAGAGAGAGGGAAGAGGAGGAAAATAAGCCCTCAGTATGACCCCCCCACTCACTCAGGTGTTACGAGGTTGTCTTACCGATCCCAGAATGCCTAGAATTCCCCATAGCAGAAGCTGCATCCTCGGAGTGTCAGCAGGCTCACAAGATAGCGGGTGTCTCTGCAAAAGGCAACGTTGTCCTTCACGTGAAGCTTGAGTCCCCTCCCAGTAAGAGCTATCTGCTTTTTATACCATTAACTTGTGACGTCTACCTGGGGAGGTGTGGTCAGCACCACCCAGCCAGAGGCCTTCAGTCTCTCCCCCCCGTTATGTAAGTGGTGCCCCTTCTGCGCATGTGTGTGTGCATTGGAATTTCCCCGCGCCTGAGTGCTACACTTAGGGAGGTCTTTCCTAAATGAGTCTGGGGGCTTACTTCATCATCTTCTTCTTCACTTTCTCCTTCAAATGTCCTTGGAGGGTCGTCGGCCAATAGTGAGGCCCCAATTAATTTCAGTTTATACAAGATGTTTCCTTCAAGGACGAAGTTCTTGTTATCAGTGCTTGTTTTCTCATAACTTGGTAGAAAAAGAACAGACTCTCACAGGTGGCTGGGCCAAACACAGACCAAAGGTAGCAGCATCTAATTAAGCACGAATATAGGGCCTGATGGGATTCATCCCAGAATCCTCAAAGAGCTGGTTGATGTTATTGCAAAACCTCTCTCTATGATTTCTGAGTGGTCTTGGGAATCCTGAGAGGTCCCAGTTGCCTGGAAGCTGTTGAATGTCCTAATTTTCAAGAAGGGTAAGAAGCAGGACCCTGGAAACTACAGGTCTGTCAGTCAGTCTCACTTCAGTGCCTGGTAAAGTTATGTAGAAGACTATTCTGGGAGGTATTGAAAAACACCTGAAAGACAACAGTCATTGGTCGCAGCCAGCATGGCTTCATGAGAGGAAAGTCCTGCTTATCAAACCTGATTTCCTTTTATGACAAGGTAACCCACCTAGTTGATCAAGGGAAGCCCATTGATGTAATCTTTTTGGATTTCAGTAAAGCTTTCGATACCGTCTCTCACAGGATCCTTCTGGACAAAATATCCAGCACACAGCTGGATAAATATGTCATGTGGTGGGTGAGCAATTGGCTCACGGGTCAAGCACAGAGGATAATAGTAAATGGGGTAACATCAGACTGGTGACCTGTCACTAGTGGGGTTCCGCAGGGCTCCATCTTGGGCCCTGTGCTCTTCAACATCTTTATAAATGACTTGGAAGCAGGACTGGAAGGGATACTAAGCAGGTTTGCAGCTGACACAAAACTCAGAGGAGCTGTTGACTCCCTCGAAGGCAGGGAGGCCCTGCAGAGAGACCTCAACAAGTTAGAGGACTGGGCAATCACCAACCATATGAAGTTCAAAAAGGGAAAGTGTTGGATTTGGCACCTGGGATGGGGCAACCCTGACT